GGTTAACGATCGTTTAAATTTTTTTCTGCAATTATTACGATCCCCGAAGCTGTGTCGGTGCATCGCGAACTCGTGGGAGTAACGATCGCTGAAATTTGGGACAATTAATCGTAAAACTCCTGCCGTAAATGGCAATTTATTTTTGCGACGACCATGTCGGCGCCGAATTCCCGCTGCTCCGAAAACTTTCTACGATTATTGCATCATTCGGATGATATCGCGGCGGCGCCGACGACGATGGCGACGACAACGACGTGGATACAAATGGAGGCGCCAATTTAGCTCCCGCTGGTGAGTTGCGGATCTTTTTCTTCGTGAGACAATTATTGATTACACGAAATTATCGTGCATTTTCACAATCGCATCATCGGCGTGAAGTTTCCGAATATTTGCCCTTTACAATTTTGACCACGTGCCAGCATTTTCCAAAGATATGCATTTGCTTTCACGAAGTTGCGATGATTGAGCGATTGAGTGCTTCTAACGGAATATCGTCCTAATCGACATCTTCGTGAGCCGCGACTCGTTGGACGCCAGATTCTTTGCTAATTACACAAATAATTGCGATAGAAAGAGAGAAAGAACTTTTCACATCGCAACTTTGTGCCACTGCGAGACCTTTGACGCCAAATCGGCGTCCTAAAATACGCTCACTCTCGATCGGTTCTTTAAATCGAAAGACTGATCTCGCTCTTTAATCGCGCTATTTCCAGACACGCCATCGACTCACGAAGGAGATCGTTGCGAAGAAGCGCGCTTTGCTCAGCGATGTGCGCGTCCGATCGCGTAAAAAGAAATCCCACAAACATCTGCGACGAAGTTGCTGTTCGCGATTCCTCCTCCCAACGGGCCAATCTGGCATTCGGTCCTTATCGTTGACCGACGGGAACTCTCTCCGCCTCCCTCTTTCTCCCATTTTCTCTCGCTCTTTCTCTCTCTCGCTCAAGCACGCCCGGTATAACATATGAGACGTACAACGTCACCGCACCGCGTCGCCTCGGAGCAAGACCGGAGTAAGACAACGACGACGACTACGACAACAACGACGACGACGACGACGACGACGGCACTCGACGAACGGAGTCCTCCGCTCGAGCCACATTGTGCGACGCGCTTTAGTGCGAACGCACCTACGTACACGCGCGCGTGCTGTGTCCCACCTCCGGTTCTCCTTTACCTCGTAGCACGTTGGAATTTTTCGGCAGTCGGTGACAGTGACTTCGTAAGGACAGGTAAACCGCTTCTCCACCTGGCCTCCACGCGGCCAGGCGGTCGCGCTACGTTTCGCCGTGAGCATGCAAATCAGCCGGAAATCGCACTAACGAGCCACAGTAGCGTACGGTGCGTGCGTGGGTGCGTGTAGTGCGTGGAAAGGAAAGTCAACACAAAACGCAACAGTCGACGAGGTTAACCAACGACACACATGTGAAGGAAACAGAGAGAAAGAGAGAGAGAGAGAGAGAGAGAGAGAGAGAGAGAGAGAAGAGTTCTCATTCGTTTCTGATTCTTCTAGTTGCGAGAACAAAACGAACGAATGTGCGGTTCCCGCCGCGTGGTTTGGCGGCGCAGGCGCACGTGGCGGCCGTGCGCGTCGTTCCTGCTGCACGTGGGTGCGCGTACATGACGCACACGTGCCGCGAGGTCTCTTTTTCAGCGGCAGTGCGTCGCGCCGCGGTGAACCGCGGTGAACCCGATCGCGGAAAATCGCCGTGTCCGAGTGCCGTTACGCTCGCGAATTAATTCGACGCCAATCTCGGTCGGTGAGCGCGCGCGACCTTTCGCGATGCCGCGGCGTTCGCACCTTCGCCAGCGGCGAGGCCGCGGTCAGCTGCTGGAAAAGTCGTCACCGGGAAGCCAGTGCTCCAGCCAGTGACGTCAAATCGCACGAGCGCCTGGCCTGGTATTCGCGCATGAATTCTTTAACACTCGCTCCTATACTCAGTACCGCAGCGGGAACTGCTGAACCCGTTGCGCTCGCTGCCGACACCTGTGTCGCGGGAGAATTTCGTATTCGCACCTGTATTCGCGACTGAAGACTAAAAGTAGAGTACCTTTGACGTCATTGGCGGCAGCGAGTCGCGATCGGCCGGCCGGCCGGTCGGCGAGTGCGACGGCGTCGTCGTTGCAAAGATCATGTTCCGGCCTTTAAATAGAAGGGCCCTCTGAATTTCCGTCTATGTCTATTAACGGCCGGCTTCGCGCGCTCAGCCCCTACGATCTCGTCGCGCTGAATAACGGTGGATAATTACATTCCGAGTACGTTCATTCACACGACCGTCGTCGCGCTCGCGCACGCCGTGTCTCTCGACGCAAATGAGGAGATTTATCGTCGCTCTGCGATTAATCACGGAGACGCGGCCGCGCGGCGGCGTCAGAATGTTGAGCCGTCGGAGATGCCGGAGATGGTTGAGGGGTCGCACGATTCGCCGAGTGAGTCTCGCGACTCAAAGTTCATCGATGTAGTGCTTAACTCAGTAATTAGCTTCGCTAATTAACGAAGTAACTACATTGCACTAGAGAACGCGACCCGCAATGCTAATTTCACGTTCGTGTTCCGTGAGTCGAAGCGAAGACAATTCGTACGGGAACTTTTGTCGTGCTCGAAAAGCCGCCGCGCAGACGACGACCTGACATTACGCGACATGCGCGCACGGTAGCTTCGCCCTGGTGGGTTTTCCATTTTGGAGGCGCGTGTCCGGGAAAACTGCTGACTCGTCTCGCCGGGGAATAAAGAGAACAAGGGCGCTGGGTGGCGGTGCGAAGGCGCCGGGGAACGACGCGGAGAGGGTCGCGCGGTTTATTGGCCTGCTTGCGGCTATTTCTGGAGCACTTTCGTCCGGCCTTTCGACGGCAAACGCGTTATCGTGCATATGTTGGTAAATAAATGCAGAACGCACGTCAAGATAACTCCCCGCGAACTTTGGCCTCCAACACGTGGCTCGGCTCGTCTCACCGTCATTGGCGATGAGACGTGTGTTTACGCAGCCTGTCGTTTATCCTGTTTGCGAAAAACACATCGTCGGACGAGGACGACTCGCCACGGGCAGAAAGATTCGCGCTGTATATCGCGAATATCATGGGGAACGATATAATGTTAACGCTTCGACATTTGGTCGGAAGGAAATAACGCTATTTCCCTCGGTTGCGCCTCTGTGCTTCGATTTGATTGCAAATAAAAATCACAGGAATTTTCGCTCTTTCCCGTTGCGTTGCGGAAAATGGAAAGTTCACTACGCGCACTACGAAATTACGTTGTTGTATGATACGAGCCTCGGTGATTCTCGTGTGTGTTAATTATATTAATCGAACGGCACATGTCCGTTGTTTCTCTCTTTTTTCTACGACGTCTCATTCATAATGCGAGGCTAATCAACGAGACTCTGACTAACTCTGACTAACTCTGACAAATTCGAAATGTCCTGATGAATTTCATTCCGATACGAGGCCTGTGTCCGCGCATGCCACTGGAATTCAAAGCGCGCAACGACCCAACGAGAAAAATCGCGGGATTTTGGGCAATTCGTTACCGGCCAATTTGTTCCAACGGCGTGACCGAAATTTTACCGAATAAAATTGTTTCATGCCTCGATGTTCGATCCTACGATTCGTGGAGGGAAATTCGTTGTACGGGTTATCGCCGCGAAATTAGGAATTCCCCCGACACGTAACGGTACGCGTCACGTGATTGTCGAAGCGAGAAGCAAAGACATCTCGTGATGTATCAAGATACATTTATCGTCAAATCATGATCGATAATCTCTGATAACCATACGCAAATAGATAATCTCTCTCTCTCTCTCTTTTCTTTCTCTCTTCTGAGCGATCGACCTTTCGCGACAATACTTGCGAAATTAATGTCGCCAGTCTCGCGATAATTGCGTTATCACAAATGGAAACCTTATGTTGGCGCAAATATTTCTCGGCGCCCGAGTGAGCGCACGATGATTGGAGCTCCTTGCGATCTTTGCATTAATTGTCGAGTTCGGCGGAAAAATTGGAGGAGTGAAGGTGTGGAATAACAATGCGCAACGCGGAGAGTGCAGCGATGTGTGGCATATAGCCGGGAATGCCTTTTATCGTCAAACACGCGCTCGTTCGTTCGCGCCGGCCACTGTAACGTCTGGCTGGCGTTACGCAATCCATTAAAAACATATTTTACGAGAAACTCTCTTGGGTACGGTGCGGCGCAATTCTGATATCGCGGATATCGTGATCAGGGAAACAATTCAACCAGTCTCTAATCTCTACCTGCGCTCTGCGTCGGCCGTTGTTCGAGCCGTGCCCGCACGAGGGCACCCACGACCTCGTAAAGCAAGCTCGCGGACGCGAGCATTCAAACACTGATAATCGCGTATCGCTCGCGAATGCACCTAATGTGTTTTGCGGATGTTTTTTACTAATAATCGTTGCTTTCCCGCCCGCTCAAACCGGTCCCGCGCCACCGCGTGAGATCTATACGCGATGTCCGTTTCTTTTGGAAATTACTGATTCTTAAAGTTTTTTTTTCTAGAAATTCTTTACACTGATAAAAGAAATATCTAAAAGATGAAAGATACTCTTATTCGGTGGGAGTATTAATAATATATTTACTTAAATCTGAATTCTTTGATTTGCAACAGACAAACAGTTGCTTTTACGGACAACTAAAAGGTTTTAAAAAAATGTTCTCTTATTTAAAAAAAAATATTTTTATATCAATACAAATAAATATGTTCTCAGTAGCCAACAAATAAATAATTTTTACTTCTTAGACATTTCTTTTTTCAGTATAGATATTCTTCTAGTAATACAACGCGATATGCAAACACAAAGCAGAAACTCGAACAGTCATAAAAGAAAAACATGTCCGCAACAGGAACGCGCATTACGTCGCGACTTGACGGTTTTGCATAATTCACGCACGCCGACTTCCGCGGTAATTGCTTACTCTAGATACCGACATTGTTGCATTGAAACATTGCTGCATCACCGCGCACGTTCGCGATCGCGCATTTTTTATCTTATTTCTATTTTTATATCCTTTTGAAGAAAAATGATCGATTACAATGTCGACCTTTGTTCGCGAGATGATCGGACTCGCGTCGCGTGTTGGGAACGCATCGCAACCCTTTCTTCCAAGAAAATGACGGGATGCGCCATTGTCTAACAATGTGAGAGGGAGAAAAAAAGCCGGCCACAATTATCAAGCCGACGGAGCGTTTGATTTTCTCATTATCTGGCCGGGAACGATAATTTCCTTTGAAGTGGTGATAATTTATTGCGGTCCCGATGTGCCGGAACGCCGTTCAGGCGCTGATTACATACGAGACTGCAAAACGGCCGAGTTTTATCGAACGGAGAGACAGAATCAGTCGAGGGGTTGTGTATCGGAGCGCTCGCGACGGCGCGCGCTCCTTGACAAAGACTCGCGGATAATTGATTAACGAGTTAGCAACGGAATCGCACTGTCCGGCGCGTTAATAATGACTTATCCGCAGCAACTTGAAAAGTGTTAATCAGCGTTGTTCCACCAGCATCTGGCCTCTCCCCGTGGTCGTTTCTAGACCGGCGATTATAGCGAGGACACGCTTACGCTCGCGCGCTGTTCCATTTTTCCGTTCTACTGTCGTGAGTCACTTCGTGACCGTTGACGCAGGCTTTTTACATTACAATGAGAAGCGGGACAACGATTTTTCACCGTTCCATGTCTATCTAACGCCGAATATGGTCCTGCGAGCGCGCCTTTCGAGCTCAAAGCACGATTCTATATTCGACACATTCGAGAGAGCGCGATCAAAGAATGCGAATATCTTTGACGTGCACGGGGGCATGTCTTTGACACGTACGTCAACGGCGTTCTCTTGCCAACTCCTTTGGATCGGATTTGTGCCGAGTCGAACTGGAGGACCCGATAAAAGACCGCTCGAGATTAACACGATCGCGAGATTAAGCGCGACCTTTTCTACAAGAGCCAATCGTCACGGATGTAACGTGGCGAGGTGCAAACAGCGCGATTGTGATCTGCGTCTTATCGATAATGGGCAACGCGTTACATTGCCGATTAAAATCTGAAATTGCACAGCTCATGAATTAAGTATGTCACGTTATTATCTGCATTCTCCATCGTCGCGCATAATTTCATAATTACCGGTTCTATTTGTCACGGACGCAATATCGCAGACGGTACTTCGCAAAATTTTCCGCGCATGCAATCTCCTTTTCCCCGGATAAACGGCTTTATCGTGATCATCGCGCAAAAATTGCCGATCAAAACATGTCGCGCGACAGAGAGGGACAGAGAAAGCACTCGCGATTGTTATATAATAATGGGAGAGATTCGTGCGAGTGCGAACGAAATGCGAGAATTAAGTTGCAAACAGATAACCACATACGACGCCCGTAGACGCGTCAGAATGATTATATTATTTTGTCGCGGACGTTGTTTTGAATTTCTGCGTAATTTCTATCGTAATTCTATTCTCAGGCTCTCCGCGGCGAATTTGGCGAGGTACATTGCGGGGGCAGGGGGTTATTTTCGACGGAACGGAGTCGATCAAGGACAACTGGATAAAAAGTGGAACGGAGTTACAGTTTCGATTACTGAATTTACTTTCTCCTTTTGCGGACTTGCCATCGGCGGTGACACACGCCGTCGTGGCGTTTGATACACACTCAGTATTTCATGCGGGAGCCGCGTTAAGCGCGGAGTTCGCGAGAGCAAAGTGAACGCGGAGCCACGTTAAAAATAAACATGTCCGTTATCAATTAGCAAAGTTTACACAATCCTGTTTGCATGATAGCTGCCGAAGCGGTGGAAATTGCACGACAATATGCAGGCTCCTCCGGCGACACGTTGCGTCGCGCTCGCGCATAATAAAATACGGTCGGTCGTAATTCTTAATCGCTCCCAGCGTTCTGTCTGACAGATGTCATAATCACGCGATACATCGTGCGGTCCAATAAAAGTCCGAAATAAGCAGAAAAGTGTAGAAGGAGGGGCGGCAAGAAAGAAACGGCGAGATCGGCCGCGACAAGAACGGAATATATAACGCGTCAGAATTTAAGAGGTTGTTTGTGTATGTTGTATCAGGAATATTTTCCCGGTCGTATCTTATCGTCAATTTATAAGGCACGAGATACACGCAAGATACACGATTCGACACTTCAGACGTGCTAAACGTCATTATAATGCCGACTTCGCCGTTTCGTCGCAAACGTCCATCAGATAGGCGGCTAGTGAGTATCATCGTTTTAATCCCTTCTCATCCGATCATTTCGGACTTATCGAATCGTCTTTTCATCAAAAACTAATTGATCGCTTTTGGGATTTTGTCAATAAAGACGCGACTCGGTGAATTCGGCTGCGAGCGAGTAAATTTGCTATATTCGTTAGGAGCAAAGCTCCAAATCGCAAACAGACACCGAAACTCTTTATTTCATCTTAATATCATCAAATTTTAATTTAATGTTCTTAATATCATCAAATTTCAATTAAAAGTTTCATATCTCGATTACACATATACACATGAAGACACTTGAAATATGATTTGAAAGATTGAGAACAGGCAGTGATTTCTCTCGACGTCTCCGGTAGAAAATCGATTCTAAATTATTCCAAATTCCGTAAACAAGAGAGATGACTCTCTGTAAAAAATATTCTGTATATATTCCCACGGAACACCGAATTAATTGTTGCTTCTTTTAGCGTAACACAGATATCACGTCGAAATTTGACAGATAAAGGCGCCGTTCGGAAACATTTATCTTGTGACCGCACGTGCCGATGATATAATCGATTCGATCGATCATACGCGATTTAGACTATTGAAGACAGTCAATGACTCCTCTTAATTACCAACTGTTTGATCGAATGGGGGAGCGTGGACATGCCGACAATAATGATTACTTGAACTCAATCGCGCCAGTAGCCCCAGTCGATAATTTTAATTAAACAATGGAGGTTTGACGTTTCAACTTTAGTTTCAGCCCGAAAATCTTCGTGGAATTTCCCGCGAATTTTTAGCGAGTCCTTTTTTCTTTCCGCGCTGTTTGTGAATTTCCCAAACAGCAAATGACGAACACACTGATGTTCGCCTGGCTTTAGACTAACTCTATTTATCCAAGCGTCGATTGCTCGAAAATTTCTCAGGAAGAAAGATCTCCCGCGTCTCCACCGTTCACGACATTCCGCTGATCTGAGGAAAGTAGTTGGATTTGATTTTTTCGTGCTAGGTCGCTTTTTATCCACGAAATCTCCGATATCTTCGCCGAGTAAGCCTCAATGGGAAGTTCACAATGAGAATAACCTTGTGGTGATCGACATCGCATTTTGTACAATGTTCGCGCTCGCACATTCTATAGCGACGAGACAGGGCATGACAGGCTATTCAAAACGTCGTCTTGCATTCCTTCTACGAAATAAACTCCATTAAACAAGCTGGACGCGTTGATACGACGGGAATTGCTCGACTTCGATCAAGCTGATTACGATTCGTAATCAAGTGTAGACGTATGTCGCTTCGACTACTGCTCAAGCTAATGTCAAGTGACGTTCCTTCGAACCACGATCGTACACCTCGATCCCCGGTGTGTCACCGCGGAGGCGCGGAATGTCGTCAGAAAGATCAGCGAATCTCTTAATCTATCTCCACGTCCTACTCGTTATCATCGCTGTGGAAGGTACAGACATTCGCGTTAAGTCGAATAATGCGTAGGAATGCGTTTTAATTCGCGACAGAGCGTTCATTTTTTATCTTTTACGCAACAAAAGGAATGTCTCTTCAGATATATATATATATATATATATATATATATATATATATATATATATATATATATAAAGAGAGAGAGAGAAAGAGAGATCCATTTTCACTCCTCTCACTTTCGGCTCTGCAAAATTGCAAAGTCCACGATCGCGTTCTTAGCGCTCTATAGTTCTTATTCTAGCGTCGCACGTATTTTTATCGGCTGATCCGTAACATTATTATTTTCCTTCGCGTTCTCATTACGCGTACTTCAATCTCGTCGTGTTTCAGATATTCGGGCAGAACGATGTCGGCGACGCAGGCGAGCAGCAAAGTGGATGAGCAGGTTTCCGCGAACAAGCCGCAGCAAAACGGCCACGGCTGCAACAAGAGTGAGGAGCTGCAGCTCGAGGACGTCAACGACAACAACAATGACGAGGTGAGAGAGCCTACCTGTCGCGCTCGCGACAGTAAGTATGTGCGCTATAGGTGTGTCAAAATGCAAAGCTGCAAAAAAGTCGCGCATGACGACTCGCCGTGTCGTCCCGCGAGCAGCTGGCGATCAGTGTATTCGCGTTGAGAGCGATGGGCGGCTCGTCGCACATGTTGCAAAGTGCAGAATCGTGATATCGTCTTATTTGCGACACATAATGGGCCGATAGGCGTTGTCTCGCGCTGTGGGTCATCTCAGGGGCGGATACGCGTTCCGCGCGCTCAATTTTTTCTCTTATCAATCTCGCCTCTCGGAGTCAAACGCGGACGCCTCCGCGTTTCTCTCTCTCTCTCCGGACGATAATAACCGACCCGCCGTTCTTCATGTACATCGTCGTCGGCCGACGATGACAACGAAACGTGTCGTTTTCCTGAGAAATGCGATTTTTGGACGAGCCAACGTCGCCCCGCTCCGCGCTCGCGGACGGACCGCGTATTTTTCTTATCGACGAGCCACCTGCAAAAATGCAGCCGATCGCGACGACGATTTCCTGAGCTATGAGAACGATGATGATGGACTTTTTTACCCTCATGCCTCCGCAATCAGTCTATTCAGGTCATCGGGAAAGGATAAAGTAACGTGTTGATATTTTCTTTCACTACTTCTTTCTTTCTAACCAGCCCACCGACGACACATGCAATCGTGACGCGACATCGTTATTTTGTTTCTTCTCCCATCGAATATCACTGGATGAGAACGCTATTTTATGTTGAAATTACTGTCTGCAGATTTTTACAGTATGCGTCAAAAGACAACGCTTCGACGCTCTCATGGCGGACTGATAACTTTTCAAGTTTTGGGTCATGCCAAGTTGACCGAAATACTAAAGAGGCAATTTTCTGAACGGCCTTGACCTTAGCACCTCGTGGATTTCCACAAGCGCGAACGTTGATGTCGAAATATCGGCGGACAGCCGCCGCGGATTAAATGACCTCGCGCCGCCTCTGCAAACTGGTCTCTCGTTATACATATCGCATCGTGTTTTCCGACGAGCGAAAAAGCAGCTCGTACGCGATGATTATCACCCCGTGGAATTTATCAATAGTCTAGCCACGAGGAGAGCTCTTAACTTTGCAGTGGTAGGCCGAGTCTACCAACTCCGTGAGCCGTTTATTTTAACGCAATCGAGGTTTCGAATCTTTGCGAGAATAAAACGTTCGCGAACACAGCGCAATTGTTACTAAACGCAATTACGAGGAAGGTTACTAATTCCGCGGACTTTAAGCGTATTATCTCTCCTTCCATTTTTCCAACACAAACCTCTGTTCTTCGCGCGGCATCCAATCTTGCCTTTTCGAGTAACCACACTAGTATATTCTTTGATAATAATAACTGTTAGATTACCGGCGACACGAGCTTATCTTTGGATAACGCGTATCGGTGCGTTTGCCAATTTTATGAACGCTTTTGGTTTCGCGGCTGTTTAAATGAGGCCTCGTTTTCTTTCAATCGAGCGTACATCGGCTGCACAAATTTCCATACTAATTAGGAACGACAGGCCTTTAATTTCCATTAACGCGCTGGCCCGTATAAATCCGATGCCCGGCAGCGAGTTTTCTTCGATTCGTATTCTGCAGGAGGAGTGGAATCCCGGCGAATTTCGATTGGTTGAGTCGCGCGATCGTCAGTTCGCAATATTTTTATGCGAAATATCATGCATTTTTATCTTCTCCTCTGCCTTCCTTCCTCTCCTCCTCCCTCCCCCATTCCTAAAAGACTTTAAAACAAGCGAAAGAATCTGTTCCTAAACGGAAATTCAAACGAGCAGAGGGGATAGTAACGGACTTGAGATGTTTGAATGCTAATCGAATTTGAGATATCTTAAGCATTTTAATGCGCACGAGAAAAAAAGTCTCAGTCCGCGTAACGTGACAAAGAGCGGACGAAAACTCACGACGTAGAAACGATACTTCTGTCGCCACGACGTTTACTTGAAAATTCGATTGAAATAACAATAGATTCCGTACAAAGACCTCTTATAGAAATTTTTCTATTTTTATAGCTTCTGTGTGGTTTCCAGATAATAGAGGATCAGTTACCGAGTATTTCTGCCGGTGCATATGAAAAAGAGCATTACGTGAGCGCGGAAGCATTAGCCAAAATGGGATCTGTCGTTTTTATGAAACGTCGTGAAGACGAGCGCGGTTCCCGTATTTCGTCGACCGTGTTAATTTCACGATCGTGATTATTTTGTCGGCAGACCATCGAGGTGGAAATGGTGGTGCCGCCCGACGGAGGATGGGGCTGGGTGATTGTCGCGGCATCCTTCATGTGCAACCTCTTTGTGGACGGTATCATCTTCAGCTTTGGCGTATTTCTGAACGACATCGCGGACGCGTTCGGCGTGTCGAAAGCGAGAGTCGCACTCGTGGGCTCGCTGCAGACTGGATTTTATCTCATGGTTGGTTAGTAGCGCGACATGTATGTAATAATAACCAACAACACAGACCTATATTAAATCTGGAGCACGGTTGCACTCGGTTGCAACGGATCTCCCTTAGCCGTGAGAGAGTCGCGCGGTAATATTCGCGCGACGTGCTCTTTTTTCCAAGGAATTAATAAAGTTCGATGCTCGAAGAAGTTCGGCGATGCATAACGGTCCTTCAGACCGTTTTGCAACGGAATACGAGATCTCGAGCGTGCGTTCCCTCAGCGGCGTTAACGATCAGATGTTTGCATACACGGCAACACGGCCGTATCGGGGAGATGATAATTTGATTGGTTTTAGTGCTACGTGATAACGAACTAAGAAAATACGATATAACAAATAATCAATACACACGGAGATTGTGTATCTGGTGTCGTCGATTCGCCAGATTTGTTCTAACAGACAGATATAGCGCGAGAACAAGCGTCGCTAATTGGTAGATTCTCTCGCGCGATTGGAGTACCTATTTTTAAAGTAAAACACGGAGAGTTCCCTTCCCCAGAGGCGCGTTGTGTTGACGCAATACGTTCTTTCGTAAGACCGAAACGCACGATAAAGTGATAGCCGGTGAGTTTCTGCCGAATGTGCGCGACTGATAAGTCTGTTTGTAAAATGTCGCGATACAATAATCGTCGTGCCTGGAATTCTTCCGATATTTATCGTTCGATTAAGATTTACGCGCGTTATGCGTCTTGAAATTACAAACTCGCGGAGAAATTTGCGCAGCCTGTAAATATACCGCGAGAAATAAACGGCGCAGAAACAACATTTCCGCGCTCGCTCGGTCTGACGCAATGTCGATCAATTCAATCGCCGCAATTCCGAACTCACGAGGATCTCGATAATTAATGATTTGTACGTTCCACGAGTCAATCACACAGCGCGCACGATATAATGTGCACGAGCGTAAGATTCGAAAGGGAGTCGTCACAACGGTCCGTAAGCGTCGCGTTTACACGAAAATTATACACCGCGGATCCTTCGCGGCGCGCCTCTGTAATCAGCTCGGCGGTGCGTAATGTTCGCGAAAATTGCGCTTAACTAGCCGCGATGATGGAGAGCAATATAAGCTACTTTCTGCAATTTATCCTTAATACTCCGGAAGCTGTTTGCACTCCTGCGCCGCGAATTAAGAGCACGTAGAGCGACGCGGCACGCGAGCGCCGCGTACTTCACGCGCAATTAAAAAATTACATTCCGGAGACATAGCAATGGCACCGGCTAATAAGTGCCAACTTGTACTTGCAAAATATGACCGTTGTCACTTTTCATTACGCAACACGGCGGCGACCCATTGTGCCCGGTAGAATCATTCGTGCAAACGTACGACGCGCACGTGTGTGTGAATACTATCGATTGTCAGAATGAATTGCACGCCGTTACGGCCATGGCGCGTCCGCGCTAAGTTAGCATATCGCCAAACGGAGCGGTCAATACGTCGAGGTAAATTAAAGTAACGATTAGGAGCGAATCGATAATCAAGGTGTAACAAGAATGATTTACACGTTTTTGGTCGCGACACGTATATACGCATATATATATATACACACATACACACACACGTTCCTGAACCAAAGGTCAATGCAAACAATCGTTGACGGAGGAAAAGACCACCGTCGCGACGAACAAATTATCAATTCTTCCAGGTCCCTTCGTGTCTGCTCTCGCTAACCGATACGGCTTCAGATTGGTCGCGATATTAGGTAGCGTCATCAGCTGCAGTGCCTTCGTTCTTTCATACTTCAGCACTTCCATCGAGTTCCTTTACATCTCCTACGGTTGCATCGGTAAGTTTCTTCGTATTTTTATATGGAGAACTTTCTCTCCGTCAATCGAGTCCTCTGTCTCTCTCTCTCTCTCTCTTTCTCTCTCTCTCTCTCTCTCTCTCTCTCTCTTTCTTTCTCTGTTTCCTTTTTTCCTTCAATTACATACAATAGGTCCGAGTCGTGCATCCGATATCGAGAGGCCGATATCACGAAATTCAGAATTCCAATTTCATTTTATGGCAAGTCTCTTATCTGTTTTGGAAAAAATTAGGCGGCATCGGAGGGGGTCTGATATACGTGCCGGCTGTGATTACGACCGGATTTTACTTCGAGAGATGGCGTGCCCTGGCCACGGGTATCGCGGTGTGCGGATCTGGTATCGGCGCGTTCCTGCTCGCGCCGATCTCCGATCTGCTCGTGCAGAACTTCGGCTGGAGAGGCGCGCTGCTCTTTCAAGCGGGTGAGTACTTCATCAAACGTGTCCGTCGTAATCCACGTTTCCGACCGAACCTCAATTTAGGTTTTTCTTCTTTGATTGGAATATACAATCTTTTGCGAGAGACATGCCTTTGTGCTCAAATCTTGCGATATAACAGACTTCTCAATTTGATCTTATCAAAGAGGAATCGTTTTTCTTTCGTTTTTCTATTTAAATTCCTTTTGCGCCCCAGACGCGTCGAGTGTATTTATAGATTCATTGAGCTTTCTATCGCGAGTAATACGCGCAGTCACTCGCGTTGCGCAAACATAGGCGCTGCCAACAGCCTTGCCTGCATTTTTTCTCAATTAAACTTTCAATCAAATTGGCCGAGTCCGAGCTTATCTGTTCTCTTATCATTGAAAACGCCAGGAGCGCGGCCTGGATTTTTTCTCACCTAATAACACGGTACGTCAAGAACGTTTGATTCGATAATATAGAGACTCGGCGCGGGAACAACGTCTGACGAAATAACATGCGACTGAGGCGCGCGTATCGTTTACCGCGCCGCAAACCGCACGAGACAAGTTCGCGACCGAGGTACCGTTTAATTGAAAAGTCACTTGCGAAACCGCGCGGGAAACGCTCATTTTACTCGCGGCACGGTCTTTACGTCTCGAGTCGTAACCGGCGACTATTTGTATGTAATCAACTGTCAAATATATTATCGTTACGACGTTTGGAGAGTCTATGTATTTTTCGTGAAGGTATACAAACGCGACGAATCTGTATGAATAATAGATTTCGTCGATGATTTGAATTTATTCACGAACGAATAAACATTATAAATGATTCTCAGCACGAGTTGCAAACGTATAACAGATCAAAGGATGTGTAATAATCCGCGATGGATTACAGGCATGCTGTTGAATTGCGCTATATTCGGCGCCATGTTCCGACCGTTGAAACCGACGAGAATAAAGGTAAAGTCCACCCCGGAAAACGCCGCACTCGAGGTGAAAACCACGCTGATGGGCAAGGGCGTGTCGACGGCCTCATTGCACTGCGTGCAGCCGAACAGAAGCGGCTTCTTTGGCACGAACAATAACACGGAATATCCTACGGCGGCCGAGATACTCGGCAGCAGCCCCAATATAGTAAAGTAATGAGAACCCGGGAGAATCACGCGCGAATCTTCCTTCTACGCGCAAATCAAGACGCATCGATTTCGATTTCAGCGCGTCCAAGTCCCTGCACTCGCTGCACAAGGTGCACGTGGAGCCTCAGACCTTGGAGTTGAAGGTGAGCAGTTCGGAGAAACGGTTGTCTGTGCCGGTATATTCCGACCTGGACGCCATGAACAACGAAGAGAAGATCGCCGAGGAGAACAATCTGCTCAGCGGCGACTTGGAGCGATTAAACGGCAAAGTACCGACGGTAAGATCGATACACGGTGTTGCAGGAGGACGGAAATTTCGGCGGGGTTTTTAAACTGTCCTCGGGGGTAGCGAAGATGTCGAAAGAGCTTTATCCGTCGATTGCAACTGACGCAATCTAAACATTAAGTAAGACAACAATCTTGCGGAAGTGCAAGAGATATCGGCGATGGAAGTGAGCTCTACGATGGTCGGTTTTCATTTGTTCGGCACACGATCGGTCGATCTACGGTCGAGGGTTATCTACCGCGGCGAAAGGTTAAACAATCGTTCACGCGGTCGTTGATTAAGAACTACAAAGTTAGCGAAAATGTTGAGACATCGCATTGAACTTGATCTATGATCCGAAACTGTCGTTAGTTCCATTTCTCTCTTTTTCTCTCTTTCCCTCTCCCTCTCGCGAGATTCATTCTTCTCCCTTGTTGTTTTCAAAGTGAAAAGCGCATCCAGAATGTATTGCGGCATGTTACGAGAAAAAGAGACTACTTCGAGACTTTTGCCAAGAGGGGAGAATTTAGTGCTTCCGAGGCTATAAACGTCAACTCTGTGACCTGGAAAATCTTCCAAATCGAGTCACGAATTATTTACGGCTTCATACGAGCGCCTTCATCTTTGTCGAATTCGTCCGTGAAAATTATCGCTATACGAATTACATAATCGATACTTGTATATTACTGTTATAAGATCGCGTGACTGGTTATTAATCTAATAATTGACATTTTTCAAGGATAATACACGACTGACGATGCACGATTCGTGCACCTTAATGCACCTTCGATCAATTTTTCAGACCCGCCGACACACGATCAGCGGCAGGCGTCTACGAGCGGATTCCGAGTGCAGTCAGAAGTCCCTCAGATCGGGCAAGAGAAATCAACCGAACAAAGATCCGCAGAGGCCGTTTTACAGAGATGACATCTTTTACGGTGGCTCTTTGAACAGACTACCTCATTACAAGTCGCAGGTAATCTCTAATCTCCGAGTATACCCGACAGAGACCGACAACATCGCACGGCAACTTTGATTATTGCAGTTATACGAGTATTAATTATATATAAAAAAAAAGGAAAGAGAAATAGATAATCGGCACGCGAGCAAAAACTAAAAATCTCTAGCCGAAGGTTGACTGATGCCTCACTAATTCCGGTTCTGCGAATATAATGTTGCCAACCGGATGGCAGATAGACTGTTCTACTTAAGATATCGTGAAATTACGTCTTCGCAGCAATCGTCGGTCGGTTATCACATGTCAGTGACGCGGCTGCCAACGACGACGGACGTGGCGGAGGAGGAAAGCGGAAGCTGCTACCTGTGTCCCGAAAGCGTACGTCGCATTCTGACCACGATGCTCGACCTCAGCCTGCTCAAGAGTCCGTCCTTTCTGATACTCGCCATCTCTGGCGGGCTCACCATGATGGGCTTTTACACGCCTTTCATGTATGTGCCGGGTACGTCGGCTGATCGATACAATAATATAAAAAATCCCTTTGGCACCGCAGGGAACACGATTTCCCGGGGAAACTTCAGAGCCGCATGAGCCGCTCAATCTTCCATCGCAATCCCCTCAATAAAGTCGATTGAGGAGGCTCATGATATTCAGATAAAATTAAGCCCATGATATACAATCTTTGTTGTAACAGATACAACAGACTCTCGTCATCATTTTATCGTACAACTCTTTTAATCGTTGTATCGCTTTAATATCTGTGTCTCAAACAGTAAACACTCATTACCGGGCCCTGTGCTATTTGCAGATCGAGCCAAAAAGGCTAACATTGACGCCTCGACGGCGATGTTCCTCGTTTCGGTAATTGGCATCGGCAATACCATCGGCCGTATCGTCTGCGGCTTAGCGAGCAGCCTGCCCGGGGTTAACGCTCTGGTCGTGAACAATGTGTTTATCAGTATCGGCGGCTTACTCACCATATTCTCGGGCCTCTCCTTGACGGAGGGATATCAATTCTTTTATGCAGCCGGCTTCGGCCTCAGCATATGTAAGTGGAAGATTATACGGTCGCGAGCATTAACTTCTGAAATTCCCGCTTTAAGTCTCTCGCAGAGACGCGCGACTTATCGTGCCGACCTACTTTACGATGTTTTCGCTCAGATCCTCCGCATTAGATAGCTTCAGCAACTTATCGACTGCGCGATAATACAATAGCAGTGAATATATACACAATTTTTCTCTCTCCTTTGTAACAACACAGCCGTGTTCGCCTCTCTGAGATCGATCCTCGTGGTGGATCTGTTGGGCTTGGAGAAACTGACCAACGCTTTCGGACTGCTCCTTCTGTTTCAAGGTGTGGCGGCGGCTATGGGCGCGCCTCTCGCAGGTAATTAGAAAATATCGATCACCTATCGGGTTATGTACTTTAGCAAACAACGTCGAACGAAAATCCCGGCGGGCAGCGCGCGATGCTTTAATTAAGAGCGACAAGACGCGCGCACGACGTCGCCGATCTTATCGCGGAAATTTTCATCCGACTAATTCGAGCGCAGCGACATTACCGATTTTTACCTTTCCTCTTCGCTTCGCCAAACAACAGCGCGACTTGGCGCGCCTTTCGCGGTTCTAGGAAGTGTTTATGTCGCTCGCGTTAGAATTATTCATTATCGACACGGATTTGTCACGATGAGCTAAACAATCACGACTTTGCCGCACAGGTGCGTTCATGGATGCGACTGGGAGCTACGACGCGTCGTTCTACCTGTCCGGCAGCCTGATACTCTTGTCGGCGGTCATTTGTTATCCGCTCAAGAGGATCAACACGTGGGAGAGGCGCGGCGAGCAGAAACCGGCCAACCAGGATCTCTCCAAGTCCTGATCCGAGGCGCAAAACGCCACACACCGTAGAGATCATACTCGGCACGCGTGAGCGCGCGCGCGCGCGATATCGGCCGCGCGCCGCGTATGTTGTACATATTAATGCATAATAATTTATAAGCGAGCGCTCGAGTCGAGAACACAATCGTCATCATCGTGTCGCACGTTCGCGAGGCGTGTTGCGCGTCGATGAGAAAACGATCGATCTCGCGCGATCGACAGAGCTGCTGCGTTCGCAACTGGGACGGAATGAGTCCGATTGTGTGCCTCTGAGGGAAAAGCAAGAAAGAACCTACCCTCGTACCGAACGTGCCTTCCACCGAAAAGGGCCTTCTCTTCACTGAACGAAGAGTCGATCGCTCCCGTCGCGGCGGGGTCCTGTCGTTCCGTCGTTCAAATTCAACTATGTTTATCCGCGTCTAACATCGGCGAGCGTAAGGAAGAATTCACATCTTAGCGGGAAAGCTAAGAAAAGGTGGTTTCTGCTTCTCTACCAGCGTGAGTTCTGGTTGGTTTCTGCCTCTCGGTTTTCTACCAAGGTGTGAATCCTCCCCTTCACGTCGCGGGTCGAACGCGAGATAGCAAGGTTGTGTACATAAAGGATGGGACTCATCCTACGGACTAGTTACCGATTAGTTCGTATTTTATATATTTTCCCGAGGGAAGCCAAGAGTTTTTGCATAGATTACATCGATATAGTTTAGAGCTCTGCATATCAAGATCCAACAGTATCCGATACATCTTGATTCCTTATCGAATATAACCCAGGCTGATTTGTATCCACTTTGATAAAACGAGATCATCTTAATCGAACTTGTCTTGACAAGAAACTGATCCAGGGTCGGGTCTGACATCATCAAAGCGAATCAAATCGTGTTATATTTGATAATGAATCGGATTATGTAATCGGATGCTGCTTGATTAGCAGAACTCCGATGTAGTTTAACGAGTGCGCGTTGTTGCGCGTCACATATATATTCGATCGAGATCGAGCTGCTACGTACGCGCATCATGTAGCTTAGCTTTTTTATATAAGAATTTTACATTATAAACGTGTGTTAACCACTCACTCTTGTATATTCCACGCACGAGGGGGTTAACGCGAGATCTCGCGACTCGTGATGCTGTACGCACTGACGTTGAGCGGTTAACCGCGCGTCGTCCGCGCGTATCGGGTGGCATTTGTACTTGCGTGCGTCGCATGAGCGCATAAATAATCTCAGCGGAAAGCGCGCCTTCCGGTGTGCAATGTTATTTGTAAATATGTCATTCCACCCAGGCTTTCGAGAGCGGCGGAACTCTTCGCTGCGGGACGCGCAAAGACCTGTCGATCGCGATCGATCGATGGCTCGGTCTTGTCGCACTCGACGATTTATCTCGGTGCGACGCAATCTTTGATTTTTCTGTCCCAACTCGCCAAGACCAGCAGGCGCGTGTCGATATGAAGAATACTCTACGCAAACGTTTGTCGCGCTGCTCGAAGCATATTTCGTACGTGCGTCATAAAGATAAGTTCGCGAAGTCGGCCGCGTCGATCTCGTTATCAAAGACGCGTCTTACGAAGTATATACACATGTTGAATATATTCCACGTTGTAAGTCTAAATATTCGTATTTCACCTTACGCGAAGGATTCAGCCGATCTCGAAAGGGGCCGACTCGAGCTACCCATTGCCCATGATCAGGCGAAGTCGTTGTGGCGTTTTTTACCCATTAGTCTCTTAAGAATTTGCTCAAAAGTGCAATCCGTTCCTAGTGTTCCTAAACGCTAAGAGTCGTATATGTTACGTAGTATTCCTAAATTCGCGCGTGCACGTGTCTCAGGAAAGCCGACCGCCCAACTTTTCCAAGCGGTCTCGTTTCCACCGCAAATGTCTTCCGTAAAAGATCGGGAATGTGCGATATGCTCGACCTTTCGTTCGCAGGACGACTCGATCGACTGCCGCGGAAACAATTTCGGCCATGCGTGAGTCATGTGCAATAAGAATTAAAGAATCGTGTGAAGCAAGAAACAAGTCTCGTTATCGAGATCCCTCGTGCCCATCATTCTGATCTGAATCTAGCCAAATATTGGCGGATCCAGCCAAGTATTGGCGGAGAAGCGCGCAGTTCCTCGCGGGCTTCGGAGATACGCGACGTCGTTTCCCGGGAGATTCGATACGAACTTCGACCCATGCTAAAATATCGAGGGAAATCATTGGCGTATTCTATTCGAGGTCCGGCGCGAGAGGAACAACGAATAATTATCCATCGCGAACGAGAGTCGGTCGATTAGCCGCGTCGATTTGTCGCCCGTTTAAGTTACACGAGAGTCGAGAGCATGTTCTATATACTAGGCAACCTTGCATATAAATTTGCATCCGTGCGACTTGCGGACTGCGCGCACGAGGCGGAGGCACGATGACAGTCGGTGTCCCATGTGACAGACCTTTGCCAATGCGTCAAAGTCACGGACTTCCGCCTCCTGGGAGGATGTGAATCATGCCAGTGCGACGCACGAAATCGTAAATTATCGCGCCGTGGTCGGCCGGTCGCGCCAGCGATCTCGTTTGTAATGAGATTCCGCGAGTGCAAACATATTTACCGAGAGGAAACGCGCGCACGACAGGTACAGGCGAAGCGGATGCCAGCGAAATGCAAACGATGTTTTTCCCGGACGTATGCAAAGTGTCGGCAGGCGACGACGGTGCGCCGAGTTATTTGCCGTAGAAAAGCGAACGAACGCCACAAGCGGGACTGCTGCGAGTTAGGCAGGACCACGATGTTTGCCCCGTGTAGACGTCGGCCGGGATATCTCTGTCAATGTTAGACTACTCAGCGTCGTGACGGCATCGGGGGCATTGTCTGATAAGGAACGGAGTGAAATGCGAATTACGCTTCCGGCCGTCGCCGACGGACCACTTCCGGATAACGCGAGTGGCGAAATCAATTTCGTCGCTCGCCGGTTCTTGTATTTATCACGAGGTGTCTTTTTACCCGTAAATAATACACAAGTACTCTCTATTCACAGGCACTACTATTTACCGGTCTCCCCGTTATTGCCTGTACACTCTTCCGATTAAAATCTTTCTTTCTCTTCTTTTTCTCCTCCTTCTTCTTCCTCAATTATTGCCTTCGCCAATTTTTAACTTCGGCGGCGAGTGGTAACAGAAATTTAGGTGCCGCCTGACGCGGTTACAGCCATAAAAGCGGAATTGCCACCCGCGCTATCTACGGTCTCGCTCGTTGCTTTGTATTGTACGAGGGTCGCCGACTACACCTCCGTCAGTAACGACAGGGTGGTCTCATCTTTCTCTTTTTTGCTTCGGCAGCGGTCGTGCCGGGGCATAAATTATTGCCGTACGTTCTCTTTCTCGCTCGCTGACCAATCTTGTTCCTCTCGCTCTTGTTCCTTCGCTAGTCGTGACGACGTACAGGATCCGGCCGACCAATTTCTCTATTTTTTGCTTTTTAACAGGTTTCGGATCTACGTAAAAGCTAACTCGCAACTCGCGATTTTTAACCGAGTTTTACCGCGCGATATGATACATCTTTATGATTCAAGTGTACGCGCAAAGTACCACGAACTGGCTCCAAGTGCCAAAGTGCAAGATGCGCGAAAGCGTAGGATTTTCCAAAGTAAGAGCATAAATTATTTCTTTCATTAAGAGCGTGCTCGCTACTTTTTCTCCAACCCGTGCGTATCCTTAAATAGTCTGCCGTCTTCGACCGCGCGGCTCTCCGCGAAATTACGGCGATATTTCACGCGCGCGAGCGAGTTTTCTCGCTTTTCAATCTGAACACACTGTATCAAGAGAGAGAGAGAAAGAGAGAAAGAGAAAGAAAAGAAAGTGTCTCAGGAAATTCAGATGAACAGACTCCTGTAAAAACCTCCGTGCATTCACCGACAGTATCACATAGAGAGTGGCACGTGTTCGAAATTGCTTGAATCCATCGAAGAGAGAATGCTATCTTTCTCCTACTTTACCATTTCGGACGCACGATTGTCGTGTCGGTAAAATTTTCCGAACGGTCGCAAAAAACCACTCAGAGATATCGTCAAGATTCAATTTTCCGCTAAGATACACGATCGTTATTAACCGTGGACGAAGTCAGCGTGTTATCGGTGCAGGATAAGACTTCGAATTAACAGCCGCGACCGTCGTTAAACGTATGTCCGTAACGACCGTAATTACGTTCTGTATCCGGTTGCCGAATTGACTCTAAAACCTACCAAGGTCTCTACCGCCGTAATTGTTTTTCTTAACCGCCACGAACGAAGACTGGTCGCAAAATAATATGGTGATATTTCCGTTAGCGTAATTTCCTGTTTATTCGCGTATCTCTCGGCTCGTCGCCCGCGCCCATTTTTGTCCATTTGCGTCTCCCACTTGCCGCAATAACAAGTTCCCCAGCACCGCAAAAAGCACTTGGCGTCGCTTCAAATCGAATTGTGTTTATGGCAATATCTCAATTCCCCCTCTGGCGTTTAATACGTCAAATGCGTAGGACGTGTAACCCTTTTTGCACGAGCGATAACTCTTCTCTATCCTAGAATATGCTATTACATTCGAGCTTCAAAATATCGCGCGTCTCGAAATCGCGTGGAAAAAGTCATGTCGGATGTTACTGTGGTATCGAGACACAACACAATACATGTGAGTGTGGGTGTATGTGCACATGTATCTCTCTCTCTCTTTCTCGTGTAACCATTTCTCATCCGTGGAGTGCTTTGGAATCCGAGTCCATTACCCTTGAAGAACCACAAACTGCACTTTAATTCGCGAAAGGGTGTGTGTGTGTGTGCGTGCACGCGAAGCTAATACAGTTACAAGACTGTTATTTCCCGAAGATAATAAAAATTAATATTATTTCTCGAAAATGAAGAATACATTTTGTAATTCGTGCCTCGTTTGACCATCAACTCGCATAAAAATACGATAGCCCGAACTGTACTCGGGGCTGCCAGCTCACTTTTGTCATGTAAAGCTATATTCAATCGTCCGCAGCGAAGTATTAAGGATTAAAGGAACATTGCATGAAAGGGAACAGTGATGTCGACAGCGACAGACATCGTCATCGTGAGGGGGAAAAAACGCCGGAGTCGCCGGTGCCGGCTCGAAGCCACCGGGCTTTCTGCTTCCGACTGCGGATACATTGCGACATGGAACGGGGGGTTGGTGTAGGGGTTCTCGCGGCTGCGGAGAAGAGGGTAGCGGACCAGGCGGGGTGGTGGGTCGTTCGGGGCTCGGAAAGGGGCATGATGCGCGTCGCGACGCGCTGCGGCGAAGCTAGAGCGAGACAGACCGATTTTCCGCCCCGCAACCGCAGCATCCCCCTTTCTCACCCTCCCTCTCACCTCTTCTCTCTCTTTCTACCTCTCTCACTCTCTCGCTCTCACCCCTCTCTCACTCTCCCTCTCGTTCCTTCTGTTCCCTATTAGCTACCTCTCCTATCCGTCCCTCTCTCTCCTTTCTTCGCGACTCCTCGTCTCTGTTTTTCCGCGTTCCTCCCTCTTCCGCCTCTTTTCACCCTTTACATCCGTTTTCGTTGCTTTCGCACCTATGTCGCTTTGTCTCTCGCGCACTCACTCTCTCCATCTCGCTCTCTTTCTCCTCCCTTTCTCCATTTCACCTCACTCGGTCCAGTACAGCGTCAGACCGTGTACGGAGCGGTTCGTCGCGCGTCCCTATCCGCATAAGCACGGAAGCGCACGTTGAAGTCACGCGTGCACAAGCCGGCGGTGTCACAAGTTCGCGGTGGTTCACGCAGACGAGCGACGCGTGCGGAAACGTCTTCGCGCAGCGACTGGTAGAGAGATCGACGAGGAAGAGCCCGCACTGCTCCGAGAGGGTGCCGAATCGAACGGCCGAATCCACGTGGTATACTTATAGATTAAACGCGAGCAAGAGAAGAGTGTTCTCTCAGCGCGGCGGCACGAGGACTTGCCCACTTCGGGAGCGCGAAAGTCGCCTTGGGACCTTAATTCCACTTCACGAGATTGCGGTCATTTTTTAAGGAACTCGAGGAGGACTCCTTTACGAAAGACTATCCAGGATAAATCTGCTTTGTTCGAAGACGTCAAGCGTATCTAAGAGGACCCGAAGGTACTCGCAAGAATTTGACGAGGAACAACGGATTAATGAGCGGAACGAAAGCGGTGGAACGTGCGTATCACTCGGATTGAACGGGACAGGCGAAGAAGTGAGCTTGTAGAGGTTTTACGAATACCTTCGACTTCGGATTTCTCGTTTAATCAGATCGCGGAGTTAAATTTTGCCGAGTACCAGTTCACAAGCGGATGAGAAAATTCGAGAGAGACGAAATAATAAAATTCTGCGGCATACCTAAGCAGATGCGTTCATTGTGACTGCGAAATTTCCAGAGAACTCTTCGGATGCTTTTGCTTCAAATATCTCAATTTGTACGTGATATTTTCAACATAATACAAATAGAGAAACAGACAAATTGGAGAATCATTATATTTCTCAATTAAATTTTATTTCCCCCCCAAAATTTACATTTGTAATTGAGGCCTACCATTTTCGTTCAAATTGATTTCAAAATCTAGTATTTCACGAACTCTCTCTTGAATTTTTATAAATTTTATGCATTAATTTGTGTTAAAGTTTGATTTCATTCTCTTTCGGGAAATGTGCGCGATATTTGTATCAATTGTATCTGTGGACCACAATTACAATCGCTCACCACGGTGAAAGAAACTAATTGAGATAGATGAGCGCGTTAATGTCACTTTCAATATCAGTATTAATGCGAGCGCGCGCGGAATGTCTACTGCATGCGAAATACAACAGCATATGAAACACGTTGCGGGTTAAAAACCGAGCCTGTTCGCTTAATGAACTTAATAACGTTTCATTCATCCGCGTATCAGTGAACAGATCCGCGAATCTGCACAGGAGAACCGTTCAATGTGTGATAGCGCTTGAATCCACAAAATTCCCCGAAACATATTTGAAATTCACGTGTCGCGGTTTCACCGCGTGGTCCACATTTTAATTAATTAAAAGAAGACTCTCTCTCTCTCTCTTTCTCTTTGTACACGCTCATAACATCCGCGTGTTTCTCTCACACGAGGCGAGTACAACGAAACAACGTCGTCGTCGGCTGTCCACGTAGTGAACACGGAAAAACGGCGCAAGGCGACACAAGGAAGGAAGGAGGGAGCACACAAGCGGCGACGGCCAATTATTTCGTCGCTAATTAAGCGGCAACGCGTGCATTCGGCTTTAAACGAACGAGAGAGATAGAGTAGAATAGAGAATCGGAGAGAGAGATCGTCTCGGTTGATTGGCACCGGCAGCCGGTGCCCGGTGTTAATTGGTTAATTTGCCGTATATGTGTGCCTCTCTCGTACGATCACAGCCGATGCACTATCGCGCCGCGCCGGTACATCAAGTGTCAATCGTCAGTTGCGAGATGCAGTCATCCGCGAGCGCGTCAGGGTAATCGTCCTGCCTGCGACGACGATAAGGAGCCCCAGCTAAGTGGGCGCGCGCTTTTGGAAGCTTCGTGAGGCCCGGAACCCTCGTTAACGATAATCCGCACGACCTTCCTGCTCTTCTATGACAAGTTCCTGCAGTACGTGACCAAATTCGCCACGATGACCAGCGGACAGAGGAACAAGTCCGTTGTGCACCCCGAGCAACGGTACGGATACATGCCGTGCCCGTTGTACGACACCGGTAAGAACCTACGTTAACGTTACGGTCAATATCGATACTATTAACGTCAATACCGAGTTTCGCCTTTGACGCTTTCGCTTCTCTCCGCGGAGAGGTCTATCCGCTTTCAGATTCGAATTGAGTCCTTATATTTCGTATTGCTCGATATTAACGTGTACGTATGTACAACTCTCTGTGTCGGATTAAGTTTCGAGAATGAACGAGCGTAGAGCCACCAGTACTTTGTGTTTTAGAGACGGGAAATCGGGAGATTTGTTCCGAGAGTCGGAGGTAATATTCATTTCTACGCGATATTGGATTTTGGATTTTAGATTCGCGATATCGATTTCCTTCAGAGGCTAGTTTCTCGTCTTATTATATTTCATCGTTTGTTATATCCCTGCCTGCGTAGAGTCCCCTATAGATTGCTTCTTTATGGATGCGGTGAACCCATTTAATTACAGGGTGTAATCAATAATGATTAGCATTAAACTAAAACAGGTGCTCGTGATCGATCCTCGGTGTAAGTCCTGCGAGACCCTGACACACAAGGCCGCGTGACTCGATGAAGTTTTGAATTATAATAGCAGTTTCGTTAAACCCCGTCGCGCATGGCAAAAAGTCGAGGCGGAGCGTGCCGTGGTTTCGGCAAAGACACATGCGATAAAATGTCAGTTAAATGTCGTTATGTACTTTTTGTCCGATTTTTTGCACGTGACATATCGCGTTAGATTGATGGCTGAAGTGATACGCAAAAGTGTTCGATAGGAAATAAACGATCGTAAGTCGTTAAATTTATAGCCGCTCGGCCTTACGTAAGAGAATTAATTATCGGTACGCGGACAATTGTACCGGCTCCAACAAATCTCTCGACGCTTACAATTCAATAATTAATTCCTCGTCGACGCGAGACCACGCGAATCCACGTTTCCAGCCTATCATAAGACAGACGTCGTTAACTTTAATAAGCCCAGTCATTGAGAGTAGATCTCAATTGCGATGCATTATGCATCCGATGTTATATCTGCGAATTTTCGGGTAACAGAGATAGCAGGCTTCTCATACATTACTTCAACTCTCATTGGACTCGATCGACAGTCATTGTATCGCTTCGTCGTTAATAAAGCGACATGTAATGATAATTTCGATTTCGTATACCGAGATTATACAACTAGGAGAATGTTTTTCGAGTCGAAATTTTGGTTCTACGTTTATCCTGCAAATTTCGCCAAATATTTGAAAGATCAACGGAGAATCTCTAGATATCACACTGTACAGATTACTATCCTACTTTGTAATGCTGCGAATAATCGTTTACAGCTGTTCTCTCGATATTGATATTAGTAGAAGCATTTATTCAAGAATTATTTAATATTTGATTATTCGATTGATAATATCATTATTATATTAATATTCCTGACATCTAATCTTCATTCTTGATTTCAGTCAAAACAATATATTAATTATATAACTACTCTACTGCAAGTAGAGTATGTGAAAGAAATAAATATAAAATAATCGAATAAAGATTGATGGAAAAATGAGTAAAAGAAATAACATATTTTATTCTCATCGTTTCCTAACTTTTTGCCTTTTTTTCTTTTTTTTTGACGTTGCAAACTTCGATAAGATCAGCTCTGAACAGAGCTGATTAGAGAACTGTGAAGATAAATATAACAGTTATGTGCCCAATAAATACTATTTATCAATAGAAATCTAAATTTGGATTCTGTACAATAACAAGACTAAACAGAAAGAATAAAATGTTGGCAGATAAGTTCGTGCTCGTGGTTCAAGAAGCATTATTGGACGTAAAAATCAGCACTTGCGAGGTTGATATTGGATTCTAAGGCCGATATTCACAGTTGTGAATTATTTAGAATCATTGATTGGGAACATAATTAATTATAGATTCTTATTCATAGACTATTATTCGCCCGTTTGGATCGATATTTCTTGTTTAAAGTAAGCAAAGATATACAGGCTAATGAATAATCGAAGATTTATAAAGCTGCAATTATTTTCTTGAATATTGACAAACTATGATTGCCGGTCTAAATTTCGACTCAGATATCTTCTTCCTAACAAGTTTATCAGACGTCCGTTAAAATCGGAACGTCCTGTGTAATAAATGATTTAACATATCTGCAATTATACGACGTATCACTGCTCGTGTCTCGACATCCTGAGTCCTGACACTT